AAAAAAAAAAAAAAAAAAAAAAAAAAAAAGAAAGGAAAAGAAAAGAAAAGAAAAAAAAAAAAGCATGGGATGGATCACGGAAAGTCCAAGCTCCACACCGAGCCAGCTGACTCAGCTGACGACACGAAATGAGAGCGGCCACACTGGGAGGACTGGACGAGGGTGAAGGAAGGTCAGATGCAGGAGGACCACACTCTTCCGGACAGTGAAAAACAGAATCCAGGCCGAGACTCATGTCAAGTCATAAAAACTTGAAAAGAACAAGCCAAAAAACAATGTGTGACGTCTGACCTCGGGAAGCACAGACAGGCTGAATGGGGTGCACATGAGGAGCCCACGTTTTAGTCATTTGTCTCCAAATCGTCCTTTCCTGAGGCTGTTTGCTACAGCCGCCACCTGTGTGTGCCTGGCGGGTGAGATAGTTTGCCATCTGAGGGAGGAGCAGGGAGAAGGCTGAGGACAAACTAGATCTGCCCTTACCTCGGGGCCTCTGCTTCTCGGCATCATAGATCATGACTACCTCTGTGACCTGGAAGGAGAGAGTGGTGTCAGTTCGGGCACCACGGCCAGCACCGTGGGTGTTCTTCCGAGGGCACAGCCTGTTCCCACAAACCCAAACTCTCAGCACAGGGCGCACCCTCCTTGAGCAGGGGAGGTGCGTGGGCAACAGCTGCTCCACGGGGCTGCTGTCTGAGAAAGGAGGGAGCCCCAACACTCCCAGGGCCAGAAGCAGGCAGTGAGAAGCAGCTTCAGGGCAGGCGTCTGGATATCCACCTCCGGGTTGCCCATGGCCCCGCTCACATGTGTGCTGAGGAACAGGAAGGGCCAACAATGCTGGCCACGTGTGAACCAGGCCACGTGTGAATGCAGGGTACGTGGGAACCAGGAGACCCCACAGAAGCCCTTCCCACCCAAACGCGGGAAGCAAAGGGCACACTCGGCCCTCACTCGAAGTGGTGGGGCAGCCACACACAGCTCCTCGGCGGAGGCTGTGCTCCCAGGCCCCGCTCGGGGCCTCTCACTCCTGGCCCAGGCCTCAGGCACCAGCTGATGAACATGCGCAGTACCCGGGCACGCAGGGCTGTCCTGCTGGCGGGGCTCGCGTGTGACCTGCGGGGCATGGCATGAGTCCCAGCAGGACCTTGGGGTGACTGCATGCCCCTGCCTCGGGTGACTGGGAGGGCTCCCCACTGGCCTGCTCCTGGCTGTCCCAGCTCCCTCTGGCACCAGGCTCAACTGAGCTCGGGCATTTTCCCACCTGCCCACTGGAAAGTCAGCTCTGGCTGGCTCGCCCAGGCCACGCTGAACCCCGTTTCTGTGTAACTGCCCCTCTCTGACACTTGACCCCATGGTGTTCACAATGGAATTGGGCGGCTGCCCTGAAGGCTGCCAGGCTGGTTCACTGCAGAACTACCCTACTGGGACGCGAAATGGCCACGAAGGCAAAGGCTGGGCTTTCTTTTTGGAGAGCGCAGGCATCAGGGAAATGAGAGAGAGACAGCTCCCAGTCAGAAAGGCCTGCGCACCTGCAGCTCCGCCACTTCAGCCCCGAGAAGGCCGAGGACTGAGCAGAAGCGGCTCTGTCCCAACAGTGCTGCTGGGGTGGGGAGAAACTCACCACTCCAAACTTCTTGAAGTATTCCCTGAGCTCTGTCTCACCACAATTGTGAGGAATTCCACCGACAAATATCTTATTTGATTTACTGTTATCGCTCCTGGGTCCTTTCTGCTGTTGAAGAAGGGAAGGACAGTTAGTTCACGCGGGAACCCTCCAAACCCTCCCGCGAGTTGCGCAGGACGTAAAGCTCAATCCGCACTGGTTCTGAGAGTCAGCTGAAAGCCAGAGCAGAACATTCCACAAGCCTGCTAAGTCCAAAGGGCAACCAACAACACTGGGCTCTGCTGAGACGCTTTCTCATTTTTCTAGAGACCCAAGGAGACAGGGATTTAGCATTTTTGCAAGGCTGAATTTCAGCTAAACTGACACACAGCACAGTGCGTGCCGTGGCCGTGCCGTGCCTTCAGTTATTCTGAATCACAACCACTACAAGGTGGAAAACCACTCCAGTGTGAGGCAGGGACTTTAGGACGGCAGGAGAACGGCAGCAGCAGCGATGAACTGAGCAGAGATGAAGCTGGATTTCAGGCTGTAGTTCTCTAGCAGGTGACAAAGATGACTACGGAAACCTCCAGCAGCTCAAGAGCCGCATGAAACAGTGGCCCAAACCACACGGCCCCTTCTGCCAGCCTCCCACTGTCAAGGGCGCCTGCTCTGGGACACCACTTCCCGGGCCCTCGTCGCTCACTGGGCGGCCAGAGCCAGGAGCCTCGGGTCCAGCTCCTAGGCCGCCCTTGGGGCTGGGGCTGTTCTTCTCCTGATCCCACCCACCAACCATCCTTTTTTTTCCCCCTATCCAAGGTTATCCTATTTTAAGTTGTCCCAACTGCTTTGGATTAAGAGACTATAAACTTTGGGGATAAGTGCACACTGCCATGAATGTCGGGATGGTTTCATGAGTGTGTGCGTGGGCCAGAATCCATCAAGTGGTGTCGTTTACTACGTGTCCTTTATATCTTAATAAAAACTAGAGAGATTAATAACCAGATGGAATAAGAACCTTGGATTCCAGTCTGAAAAAACCAGCTATGAGAAACACTTGTGAAACAATTCTCGAGCTGGGAACAGGGCCGAGACACAGATGACACGGGATTCCCGGCAGCCGTTTTCCGGCATGCTGCCGGTGGGCGCGTGCGGTGGGGGTTGTCATTTTAGGAGACGCGCCCTCCGGTCCTTAGGAATGGTGTATGTGGACACAGATGGATGTAAATACATATAGATACATTTGATAAAATATTAATAATGGATAAATCTAGATGGTATATTCAGGTATTCTTTGTGCTATTCTTCTAATTTTTCTGTAGTTAAAAAGTTTCCCAATAAAAGGTTAAAAAAAAAAAAAAATTGTTCCAAAAGTTCTGAAGCCTGCAGTAGATGGGATTCTGCTAGAAATGCAGACTCTCGGGCCCTGCCCTGCTGCCCACACTGTGGAGAGGCTGGCACCTGGTGCCTCAGCAGGCCTCCAGGTCTGCACTGTCCAGCACGTTCTGCAGGGAGGGTAAGAGCTTTTCCATCTGCACCACCCCAGTGGAGGGGGTGCAGGAAGGTGAAGTGTGGGTGGCGGTGAGCCCAAATGCCAAGGAGACGCCCTGCCAGGACAGTGCCCTGTCGGCCGGGCAAGCACCAAGGCCGCAGGTCAGAGAACCCAAGTTGCCACATCAGGGGATCTCAAGTGGAGCCGTAGAGTGGCCACAGCACGAGCTGTGAGGCGGCCCGGCCCAGCCCCGGCATGGAAGGATGGCCCACCTCTGAGGAGGACCAGGCCCAGCACAGAGGGCACACAGGGCACAGAAGAAAAATGACTGGCTTCTGACAATCAATGGCATTAGCTGTCATTTTTTTTTTCTTAAGATAGACTGGTAACAATTGTCTTGGCTGTGAGATAACACACTCACAGCACTGATAAATCTGGGTAATCCTCAGCCGCTTGAGTGCCAACCTAGAAGACCTGTGTCGCTCTCAATCTTAATGAGCAACAACAGCAGATCAAAGGCACGTATTTCCTTTCCATGTGGAGTGGAGAACACACGAGGAGGCCGCCCCGCCCAGCCCCTTACCCATCCTTCCTTCGGCCGTGTTCTCTCTGGCTGCATCCCCCGGGGTGTGCATGGCTTGGGGTCGATCTGTAGGAAATTTCAAATCAGCCAGTTGTGAATAAGAGGCTGTTTCTCTAGGAAAGAAGGTGTCAGCACAACAGCAGCCACAGCACAGCAGTCCGCCCCACCCCGCCCCGCCGGCTCCATTCACCCTGTATCCTCCTGCAATATCCAGCCTCAGCTCCACGGCTTAATCCTTCCCAATCAAGCCCACGTTCAAACACGCTCTAACTCGAACATCAGTCAGAGTCCAGGACAAAATGAAGCAGAGGAAGGACAGGTGAGACAGCGGGTGAGAGCTCCCGGAAGGGCACTTACGTTTCGGCCGTCTAGCGTGTGTGGTCTGCTGGCCAGCACCGTCCCCACACAGTTTGGGTCCTTAAATTTGACAAACCCAAAGCCTCGAGACTGGTTGGTGGTTTTATCTTTCATGATAACACAGTCTACGACTTCTCCATATTGGGAAAAGTAGCTGCGCAGAGTCTCTGCTCAGAAATCGGGAAGAAAACACAAACACACAGGGCCAGAGCATTAGGCACGTGCCTGGCGGTGCTGCTGGCACGAAGGCTCCTCCAGTCCACTGGCCGCGCGCCAAGCAACGCTGAACTGGGGCTGGAGGGTGGGGGGGTGCGGTGTACAGGAAGCATTGGGGGATTCTGCCCAATATACACTTGAGGTCCTCATGTAAATCAGAGGGGCTGCCAGTGAGCACAGCAGTGGCCAGCGGTTACAACCTGACTTTGTGGGCATCCAGGAAGGCAGCGTTTAAGGCCAAGGCAAACACAATTCTGAATGCTGGCAGTGGCCAAGGAGCGCCGACTTTGCTGCACTCTTTCCTCCTAATCTGGCCTCAGTGACGGCCCGGCCAGCCCCTCGCCCTCTGCACTCTTTCCTCCTATTCTGGCCTCAGTGACGGCCCGGCCAGCCCCTCGCCCTCTGCACTCTTTCCTCCTATTCTGGCCTCAGTGACAGCCCGGCCAGCCCCTCGCCCTCTGCACTCTTTCCTCCTATTCTGGCCTCAGTGACAGCCCGGCCCAGCCCTCGCCCTCCTGCACCTCCCGGACAGCAGCTGTCTGCCTCCACCAAGCCACCTCAGCCCGAAGTCTTCCCTGTAACTTGGGATGGAAATACCAAGTTAACAGTCTCAGAGCAAATACACGCTTACTCTCTGCCCCAGCCAACTCCAATGTGCCCTGCCCAGAAACCAAAACAATCAAAGGCCTTTAAAACATCGAGACAGTAGCAAGGCGGGCAGACCTGGCAAGCCAAGGTCCTAGAGCCCTGTCTGCAGTGGCCACCTGACACCCCTTCCCCACCTGCAACCAGGTCGTGCTCAGTCAAGACCGCCCACAAAAACTTCCTGCAATTCAATGAGAAGATATTCAGGATCAAGACGAAAGTAGCCTCACCTTAGAAATGCCCCCATCTGAGTCAAGCTGAGAGGTCTTAATTCAAACCCAGCAGCAGTTTCTGCGAACGTGCTTGTGCACGTGATGGCACACAGAGCTCACAGCAATGGCGAGTCAGCCTTGCCCATGCTGTCTGCAGACATGAAAGATGATCCCAAGCCTTGCCATGGGGAGAAGACTGTGCCAGAGTCACACGCTGGCCTCAAGCGCAGCAGGCGACGAGCCCCTGCGCCAGGCCAGTGGTGCCGGCACCAGGCTCACCTGCGCTGCTGCCGAGCGGGACACAAGCTTGCTTTCCTACAGCTTTTGCAAATATTTTATAATCACGAAAAAGAATGTAGAAGTCTAGATTTGAAATGATGCACGGTAAACTAGATGCCTGTGCCACCTGGCCCTCTGAATTACAGGCTGGGGAGGGTGGCGGGACACAGAAGCCTCGCGGCCTGCACTCATGAGCAGAATGAGGAGCCACAGATGAAGGTGGCCTGGGCTCAGTCTCAGCACTGGCCCCCCTTACCTGCCCCCACGACAAACCGCCATCCCATTCTGGGGCTGTCTCTTAGACAGATGAGAAGGACCTAAAACTCAGTCTCAGCACTGGCACCTCCTGCCGCCCCACCCCCACACCTAAAGGCCAGCGCCACCCCGTCCTGGGCTGTCTCTTCCAGGCAGATGAGCTGGAGCTCTCCCAAGGTGTCCACCATCGACCCGGCAGCGACGCCCAAGGCCACCACCTTCCCCTGCTGCCGCTCAGGTGGCCCCAGGGCCCTTGGCTGTTCCATTTCCCAAGGGACTGTGCCACCTTGCGTCAGCCACGGCACCCACTGAGCATGTCTGAGACACATGGGCCATAAGGTTTACCCAGGCATGGGGCCTTAGATGTCATTCAAGCTTCCCCCAAACCCAGGAGGCAGGGAAGAGGTGGTTCTATCGGCAACTATCCCATGCTGCCTGCTCTGAGAGAAGCGGACTCGCATTCAGAGATGAAGTCCTGAGCTGAATCTCAGTTGTGATGACTGCCAGCACCATCATCACCCTTGGTCTTCAGAGAGCAAAACACCGTGCAGGCAAAGCTCCCACCGAGGCCCAAAGTCCTGCCACCCTGCTGAAAACACCGGTCCCATGCGGGGCCCTGTATCCCCTGACGGCCTTCGCCACACTTGGCTTGGCTTTCAGCAAAAAGGTCCCTGGCAGGTTGAACACATTACTGCCCCACCAGCGGTCAGGAGCAACGTGCTCCTCACTGCACTTCACACCAGCTTGCCAGGAAACGCCCCTGCAAGATGGCTGTACAGTCCACCACCCCTTATCAACTACCACCTGGGGCTGTGCACTCGGCCCCGAGTCAGCCCCTGGTGAAGTGTCTGCAGTCAACTGCCAGGAGCTTGTCCCTGTTCCTTCTTTTTCCATAAAAAAGGTTAATTTAAAATTTAATTGTGTGAAAAACAAAGCATGTTCCCACCACAGGGGAGAGGTACCCACTGCCATCTTCAAAGTGTCAGCAAGCAACCCCCGACTCCATTCTTTGGTGGGGAGGGCTGGAAACAACAGGAAGAGATTAGAGGCAGAAAGTATTAGAGACCGAGACTGTGTCAGCTGCCCTGTGCTTCCTGACCCTTAGAAGAAAAAGAAGATCTGAAAGACAAATTTCAGGGAAAAACATGCTGATCATGCAACAGCAATAGGCTTAGGTTTAGGCCTCATTAACTTAATATCCTGCGTCCACGCACCCTTATAATCAGGCCGAGGGCGTTGAGGTCAGGCCTAGAGACCGTGGGAGGGCGAGGCCTCCGCGTGCCTCACTCGCCATAGGCATGCCCGTGCTGAGTCAGGGCCAGCCCTGCCCCTCCCTGCCAGCGGGGCCGGCACCAACGAAGCAGGCAGCAGCCCCCCACCGTGAAGAAGGGCCCTCAAGGCTGGAACTGCCCAGAAAAATACTCACTTACACAATTCTTTGGAATTAAAGTTCAAGCATTCTCAAAAAAACAAACAAAACACACACACACACACACAAAACCTGAAAACAAAACGACACCCCAAGTCACTTGAAGAAATACCAGCCTCTAGTGCTTTGCACAGATCAAACAGCCAGGCAACAGGCAGGTGTCTTCCAAGCAATGAGCTCCCCGCCACCCCCGCCCACCTCGCTGGCAGAAGGAACTCGTCAGACCAGTCCAGTTTCAGTCCTCATTTAATTTCAGAATTGGGTATTAAGGGAAGGGCTGGAAACCTGAGAACAAGTCGATGGGTTAGATAACCTGGTATCAGTACTGTCTTTCTCAGCTGGTTGCATAGCATAACATGCCTGTAATCACAGCATTATGGGAGGCCAGGAGTTCAAGACCAGCCTGGGCAACATATGACACTCCAGGTGGTGGTGGGGCCCTGTAGTCCCAGCTACGTGGGAGGCTGGGGCAGGATCGTTTGAGTCAGGTTGAGGCTGCAGTAATTATGATCTCGTGTCACTGCACTCCCAGCCGGGGTAAACACAGACCTCATCTCTTCAATAAAAATTTAAAATAAAAAATAGTTTCTCGAATTTTTTTTTTTTTTGAGACAGTCTTGCTGTGTTGCTAGGTTGGAGTGGTGCAGTGGTACGATTTCGGCTCACTGCAACCTCCGCCTCCCAGGTTCAAGTGATTCTCCTGCCTCAGCCTCCCGAGTAGCTGGGATTACAGGCGCCCACCACTATGCCAGCTAATTTTTGTGTTTTTAGTAGAGATGGGGTTTCACCATATTGGCCAGGATGGTCTCGATCTCTCAACCTTATGATCCGCCCGTCTCAGCCTCTCCAAGTGTTGGGATTACAGGCGTGAGTCACTGCGCCCGGCCGCTTTCTCAATTTTGATCACTGTGCTGTGTTCATGTGAGAGAATGTCGTCGTTCTTAGGAAGTAATAGGTATCTCAGTGTCCACATAAAAGGGGACTGTGTCGGTCTCCAGCTACTCTCAGATATTTCAATAGCTTCACCACTGCCACACGAGGAGTGGGGATGGGTGCGGTGACTCACCTGTAGTCCCAGCACTTGGAGGCTGAGGCAGGCGGATCACCTGAGGTCAGGAGTTCGAGACCAGCCTGGCAAACATGGTAAAACCCCATCTCTACTGAAAATACAAAAAGTAGCTGGGCTTGGTGGTGGTGTGTAATCCCAGCTACTCGTCTGAGCAAGCAGCTCTTGAACACAGAGAGGTGAAGGTGCTGAGCAAGATCACGCCACTGCACTCCAGCCTGAGCGGCAGAGTAAGGATCCGCTAAAACATACACACATACACACACACACACACAGCTCACTGGGGTGGGGCAAGAGAGCACCACATGCCAAGGAGTAAAATGTCAGCCAATGGTGAGTCTGGCAGAGCCAAGAAGATATAGGAATTTTGTAATTTTCCTGTAAGTCAGAAGTTATATATACAACTATGGTATAAAAAACTAAGATTTTTTTTTGAAAAAGTCTCATTACTTATGAAATCTGAGACAGCCAACAGATAGCTTTCCTTCACATAGCTGTCGCGATCTCCTGACCTCAGGTGATCGGCCCGCCTCAGCCTCCCAAGGTGCTGGGATTACAGGCGTGAGCCACCACGCCCGGCCACTGTGTGTTTCACTGAAATATTTGAGAGTGGCTTCTAACGCTAAAGCTTCCTGTGTCCATGTTTCTTTTACTACTGCTCAGGAGCCACCGGCTAACACCTTCTTCCTGGTCTGTAGACCAGAAGCCTCCAGGAAGTCCCAGGGGAGAGTCACCTCCTCAGTGAGGACTGCCTCAGAGCCAGCACAAAGTCCCTACTTCTGAGTCTCAGAATGTTTCAGTCAATAAAATAAGAAAGCTCCTGGCTTTCCTCACTCCTCCTCACCAGGTGGTGGTGAGAAGCGGCACCCTAGAAACATGCGGGGCCCTGGGCAGAGCAACTCCTAGATGCTATCCATCAACTGCCCAGGCAGCAAAACTAACTCTCCACACAAGTAGCGTCGGAGTCCAGGGAGCCAGGGCGAGGCACAGGCCAACAGGAGGTACCGCTGGCTCTCAAGGGCTTGCTCACGGGGCTGACAGTCTGCTTGTCCTCAGCTCAAGGCT